TTTTTTGGTTTTTTGGTTTTTCTCCGGTACCGGGAACCGAACTCACGACCTTCCGCTTGCCAGGCAGGCGCTTTGCCACTGAGCTAAATCCCCAGCCCCCTTATATCTTTAAAGCTATATACAATTTGCTCCACAAGAAGGTGCCAGGGCCTACCTTCATCCCATTTCTGAACTTACAACCTTGAATTTCATTTCTATAACAGGTGCACATGGAGATGAGAGTTCCAATATCTTTTCAGAATCTTTGTCATCTAATCCACCCCCACCCCACCCCGTGATACCACACTGATAGACCATAAGTGGCAGTACTCTGGATTGGACAGGCTTCTAATGTGTGTGACAGAACTAAAGATGATGACATATCAACCTCCTACTCACCACATGGTTAACACTAAGATGGCTTAAACAGAAAACCAAATTCTTATGGCAAAAACCCTTGGAAGATTTAGAGGATGTAAAAACTTCTCCAGAGTGTCAGAGAGACTAATCTCTGACTTAATTTTAATTCAAGTTGTTTATCTTGAGGCAAATGAAGCAGTTCTTGGAGTGAAAGAAGATGAAATAATATTATCATTGTCATCAACAAAGAGTTTGCTGCCAGGTGTGATAGGCATGCCCATACTTGCAGCTATCTGTGAGGCTGAGGCGGGAGGATTGAAAGTTTGATGTCAGCCTGGGCAACTTAGTGAAACTCTGACACTGATGATGATGATGATGATGATGCTGACGACGACGACAATAACAGCTTTAAAGCTGAACATGGTGGCGCACACCTGTAATCCCAGCACTTGGGAGGCTGAGGCAGGAGGATTGTTGCAAGTTCGAGACCAGCCCAGGCTACAAAGTGAGCTCAAGGACAGCCTGAATTGCGCAGCGAGACCCTGTCTCAAAAAGACCAAAAAAAAAAAAAAGAAAAAGAAAAAGAAAAAAAACTTTAAAAATAGGACTAGATATGTAGCTCAGTACTCATTTGGTCCAAAAAACTCCAATACCAAAAAGCCAAAAGTTTGTTGAGTTAGGCACTGGGGCTTGGTGCTTGGCTGAATATTGGGGTGTGGCTATAGTGAAGGCTAATATATTGTCCTTACCCACAGAGTGCCATACTTTGTTACACAGAAATTAGGAGTAAGATTTCCTTTCACATGATTCATTTGGGCAAAAATAATTGAAACATAGCTCTGGGCCAAAGGAAATGGAGAACAAAGATTGTACTACAAAGTCTCTGCCCACAAAGATACACTTATTTGCAGAGTTGGCTGTGGATTTAGAGTTATTCACGGCCAAAGGACATAGGTATTACCTTGGCTATTGCACCATTTTCATCCTGGGAATACAGAAGCAGTGGGACCAAGCTTTCCAGGACTTGATTCTCTATACTCTTCTTATGGGTGTGTTTCACAGACTTTACAGAGGCTCCAAACAGGGTCATGGAGAAATGATGAACACCAGGTCTCATCTAGGAAGGGAGTGTTCACAGGGAAGCAACTCACTGAATGCGTTCACACTTACCTTATAAGAAGTGGCTTAAAGTGTCAGTCTTTGCATGAGGCTATTTAGCTGAATATAGTGAGGCTCAGAAACCAAACAGCAAGATCTGCTGTTTTGTACTTTTGTTCCTCTCTATACATCATTGTCAAAGCTTGTGCCTGATACTGGTATTAGACATTCACATAAAGCAGTTGTGCTGAAATTAAAATCTCTGCCTTGGCGTACTACGCTCTTCCAAGGATGCTAGTCATTGTGCATAAGTATAGTCTGGACTAAGTATAGTCTGTCATCGTGACCCAGTTCTGATTGTTTCTTAATCCCTTTATCCATCCCACAAAACTGAGTTCCTATGTCTCCTGTTTAATAGTATCACCACCCCTACCAATATCATAGAGATTTGAAAGTGCTCTGAAGTAAAATGTTCTATGTAAAACAAGATATACTTATTTACTATCCCAACTTCTACTAGCTGTTATGCCAATTACCCTCCCCTGGGGGAGTCTCTTCTCTTTTGTTGACTTACATCACCAAATAAAGAGAACAGGATTCTCATCATGGCAGCCAGCGTGGTGAAATCCATTGTCTCAACAAGCTTCTGTAGTATCTGGATGGCCAACAAAACAATCCTCTCATCAGATTCCCACAAGCTGTCTAAGATGGATGGCAACAGTCTCTTGATGTCTTCCCTCTGCGTGTCCAAAGGGAGGCACATCACCATCTCTTCTGGTACAGCATCTGGTACCAGAGAGAGGGCTCCCACCTTTACTCAGCATCTAGTGCTTGCTAGATTTCTAGCCACACTGGCCAGTCCAAGGCAGGGAAGAAGTAAAGAAGGCATGACTGCCCTCCCCCATGCTAGCAAGCCTGCTATGTAGAGGAAGGGGCAGAGCCTTTGTGAGTTGGCTCACAGGGCAGAAGTAGGACGAGGTGGAGGAGGTCCAGGGATATGGCCTTAGTTTAACTGTTAGGAAATGCTCCCATAATACTGAGAGGTAGTGGAATGGCTGACTCAGATCACAGTGAGTTCCCCAATATGGATGGTATGCAACAGAGATTTAAAAATTCCTTAGCAGGAATTCAACAGAATTCAATTGTGGACCCTTAAGATTCCTTCCCATTCTGAATAGGAAATCTCCTCTTTTGAAACTCCTAAAAGGAGGCAGTCTCAGAGTTTTAAAACCTGTGTATGTGTGTGTGTGTGTAGAATAATGCAACAAATATTCATGCAATCAACCAGAATTAACATGTATTAACATTTATCATTTTTGCTTCATATGTATACATACACTTTTAAATAAGAAAAACAGAACTCAGGCCAGGTTTGGAGGCACAGAACTCAGGAGGCTGAGGCCCGATGCTGGGCTACATAGTCAATTGAAGGCCAGCCTAACTTGTATCAAGACCCTATCTCAAAAACCAAAAACACACAAAGAGAAACAGAACTCAAGTGACAAGACTGAAGTCGAGGGGATTACTTGTCTCTTCTGCCTGAGGCCTGGTTTTTCAGTGAGGCCTGTGGAAAAAGAGTTCTCATACCATGAATGCTGGTGATCTTTGTCTTCGATGATAAGCATCTTGGCACAGATCATTGCTACCCAAGTTACCCCACTGGGTAGTATGGTACAAGGCATCAAGGGACATCTAAATGTTGTCCAGGTTGTGATGGTAATGCATATATCCCCCACACAAACAGCAGGCTTCAAATATTATAAGTATACATGACTTGGACTTTTAAAAACATTGTTTAACTTTTTGATAGCCAGTATTTACATATTTCCTAATTCTTAAATTCAAATGATACGCCAGGTGTGGTGGCACGTACCTATTATCCTAACACTCTGGGAAGCTCAGGTAGGAAGACCACAAGCTTGAGGCCACCCTGGGCAACTTAGTGGCTTACAAGACCTTATCTCAAAAATAAAAAAAATTTAGAAAGGGCTGGGAATGTAGCTTGGTGTGAATGCCCTTGGTTCAATCTCTGGTCCCCCCTCCACCAAATTCAAATGATATAAAAGGATTTGCAGTTAACAAGACCTTCTCCCCGCCCTACTCCTGTCACCAGGCTGCCCAATTTTCCTCTTTAGTTGTCTTCAGTTTTATGGGTATTCTTTTGGAGTGTTAACTTTGTTGTGGTGATTATCTGTTGAGAGCAAAGAGTTATAACCTTGAACAGAATTCCCCCACTAAAACAATCCTTCCCAGCATATGCTAACCAGACAGAAGATAATGCACTAACACTGACCCCAAACAGCAGAAAATAAAAGTAAATCTTTCTCCCAGTGAGAAGTGGCCTTCTGTCAGGCCAAAGTAAATGACCCTGTCAGTTTATACCTTTGATGTACAACTTTAGATACAATGCAGGTGTCGCTGGAAAATTAACAAGGAACAAGAGCCCTTGAAAAATGCATTTCTGGGGCTGGGGATTTAGCTCAGCGGCAAAGCGCCTGCCTGGCAAGCGCAAGGTCGTGAGTTCAGTTCCCGGTACCGGAGAAAAAC